AGCTGGCGGGGTGGGTGGAGCGGGTGGACCTGGTGGAGTGGGTGGAGTGGGTGGAGCGGGTGGAGCAGGTGGAGCTGGTGGAGTGGGTGGAGCGGCTGGAGCTGGTGGAGTGGGTGGAGCATTAATCCTTTTTGAATTTTGTCTTGTCTCGAATCTAATCTTGAAAACTTTGAGTTTTGTTTTGGCAGCAGACCGTCTCCTATTGGTCGACCTCTGAATCTCTCCGGGCCAACAGCCAATCAAAAAGCAGGATGTGATCCTGGCAGCTCTGTTCCCAGTCTGACCAGTTTGTCCCAGTCTGGTTCGTCCCAGGTCGTCTCACCAATCAGGAACGAGGAGCAGACGGGCCTCACCTGCTCTCTCTGCCACAGGTAACTACGTTACCCACAATTCACCACTACACCCAGACAGACCGACCAGTCACAGAGCTGAGTTCCTGGCCGCCAGTCCTGAGCACTAAGGTGTTCCCTCTACAGGAAGTTCTCCTCTAAGCTGACGCTGAGACGTCACCTGGGCGTCCACGGAGCGGAGAAACCGTTTTCCTGTCCTCACTGTCCCTACAGCAGCAGGCTGAAGGCCTCGCTGAGGCAACACCTGAGGACTCACACAGGTAACACACCTGAGACTGACGCAGGTAACCCCCTGGATGGTGACCTTTGGTCAGGTAGCTGTTCCTGTGTTTTGCCCAGGTGAGAAGCCGTTCAGGTGTGCCGAGTGTCCGTACGCCTCCATCGACCGCAGCTCCCTGCTCCGACACAGCAGGACTCACAGCCAGGTGAAGCCGTACCGCTGTCAGCTCTGTGGCTACAGCAGGTAAGGCACCTGTTAGACACGCCCACTTCCTACCCATCTGTGTTTTAGTTCCTCCGTCTGAATATTGTACCTGCTAGTTACCATGGTAACCTGACAAGTTTTTCCATCATCAGCATCCAGAAGAAGAGCCTGGACCTCCACGCCCGCCGGCATCACACAGGTGAGGTGTTTCCATGCCAACAATGCGAGTACTCCAGCCCGGACCGCCAGCTGCTGCTGAAACACACGCGGAGACGCCACGCCCCCTCCCTTCTCCCTGCAGTCTGATTGGACCGATACCTCCCCAGGTGCTGCTTGCATGTTTACCTGCAGGAAATATTCTGACTTTTATTTGATATGAAAATAAAGATGTGAAAAACAGTAACTTTATCAAGCTAAGATTTATAACTTCTGAAAACACCAGGAACACTTGGAACATACCTGGGACACCTGGGCGGGTTTGCATCATTGTTCCAGGTGAGCAGGAAGAGGCTGCACTGGGAGGACCTGCAGGTCCACCTGGGCATCAGAGCAGAAGAGTTGAGAAACGGCAGCATTAGCTACAGAGGACCTTGATGACATCATCATGGTCACATGACCCCTGGCAGCACTGCACCAGGTCAACGTGAGCCTCACCTGTCAGCAGCTGGTGCTACGTCTCAGCACACCTGGACTTGGAGACAAAGGTTAGGGTCGCTGTCTTTAAGGACGCGCCCTGTAGGGGGAGCTAGAGCTCCTTCGCCGCCTGAGTAACACTTTAGTTGACAGAGTGCAGAAGACTGACATGACTCAGTCATGAACATGAACGAGTCTTTGACTGTTGTCATGAACAGACTCAAGCTGCTGTGTTCACTGACCTGTAGATGTTGTGGGAAATTTGATTTACTAAAATACAAATTAAAGATTAAAGATTTGTTTGCATCTGTTGAGTCATTTCTGAAAATTTAATTAAACTCTTTAGTTGCTTTTCCATAACTTTGGAAATGTTCTAAACCAGAAGAATCACTTCGCATTGACACTGTGCTCATATCGGTCCAGAGTGTCCCCCATGTCCCTCTGGGACAAATTGTCCATCAGCTGATTGACCGATTGATCTTCTAATGGGATGCTAATGTCCTCAGGCTAACGTCCTCCTGCTGCTGTCCCGTCACCTAGCAACACTGTCCAAACATCTGTCCAACCTGTCCTCAGTCCAATCCTTTCCTGTGATCCTTCCAGGAATTTCTGCTAATTATAAATAATTATTGATTATTTGTTAATCAGACTTCTGGGTCATCTCCAAGGCTGCAGTGAGATTCATTTTTCTCTTTGCAATCCAGAGAAAATATTTCCATGAATGCACATCATCTTCTGACCACAAAGCAGTCATGTGGCATCATGTCATAAAAATATGTAAATTATGCAATATTATATCCCACAATGCTACACAGTTCATTGACTATTGATTTGGGTTTCCTGTGTGTTTCTTCAGTTCCTGTGTCGTCTTGTCCACCGTCGTTGATCCCAGCTGTGTCCAGTTCCCCAGTCGGGTCCTCGTCTTGTCTAACTTACGTTCCAGAGTCAGAGCTGCTGCCTCATGATCACCATGAAACGTCAACCTGGGTCCAACTCACCACCAAACACCCCACATCATGACATTCCTGTTTCTTTGTCCTCATCTTATCAACTGCAAGATCGTTTTTGAGAAAAAGTTTGCAATTTTTCACATTTATCTGCATCTGTTTCCAGATCTTTCCTCTTTTTCTTCTGTGACTCTGACTTTTCTTCTTTCCTTTTTCAAACTAAGAGCTTTGAGATGTTAGTCAGGGAGCGTCTGATGCAGGACCGGTTGGACTCAGGTAGGCCTTTATGCAATGTTTCTCCTGGAGGTCAGAGGTCGTCCGTGGGGTCTGGTACCAACAGGACTCAATCAGCTGGAGAAGTTCTTAAATCTGAAGTGAAGCAGGTCCAGATCATCTGGTTACTTCGTTTCTAGACATTTGATCTCATTGTCAGCAGAACTGAAGGTCCTGACGACATTAGTGTCCAAAGTGAAATAATTGGGTTACTTCTGCTCCAGATGTTCATTTACCCTCGGGGCATTATTGGATCGGTCTCTGGTCCGCTCCATTAGCCCCTCATCATCATCAGTCGATCAGCGCGACATAAAAAGCTCAGAGTTCCTCTGAACGTCCTGCAGGACTCCAGGCCGCCGTACAGCCAACAACCGACAAACATCCTCCAGCCTGATTTCCAGCTGACATCCACCAAGCGTTCACACAGATTGTATCTCTGATCCAGCAATCAGAATCCAGACAGACCTGAACAAAGATCCGCCCAGAATCAGGAACCATCGGGGTTCAGGAATCAGCCAGAACCTCTGAGATCCGCAGCAGAGATCCGTTCTGCCTGCAGGATGGCGTCTGTCTGCCCCCCGGCAGGAAACTGCACAGATCACCAAAAGCACCTCGGGATGCTCGTCCACCTCCGGGGACCCGTTTCCACCCACCGCACCCTGCAGCAGCTGCGCTCGTTCCCTACTGTGGACGTTCCTGCGCATGCCCATTACATCATCGGCTGTGTGATCCTGTTGGTGGGAGTGACGGGCATGTTGGGGAACGCTCTGGTCATCTACGTGTTCTGTCGTAGCAAGACCCTGCGGACACCCAGCAACCTGCTGGTGGTCAACCTGGCGGTGGCGGACTTCCTGATGTCGGTGACGCAGTCTCCGGTCTTCTTCGTGGCCAGCCTGCACCGCCGCTGGGTGTTCGGAGAGTTTGCCTGCGAGCTCTATGCCTTCTGCGGCGCTCTGTTCGGCATCGCGTCCATGATGACGCTCACGGCCATCGCTGGGGACCGCTGCCTGGCCATCACGCGGCCGCTGGCGCTGCTGGGCGGAGTGAGCCGCCAGCGGCTCTTCGTGGTGGCCGTGGGGGTGTGGGTGTACTCGCTGGGCTGGAGTCTGCCGCCGTTCTTTGGGTGGAGTGCCTACGTCCCTGAGGGTCTACAGACGTCCTGCAGCTGGGATTACATGAGCTTCACGGTCACGGTGCGCAGCTACACCATCCTGCTCTTCATCTTCGTCTTCTTCATCCCCCTGGCTGTCATCGGGACCTGCTACCTGGCCATCTTCAGGGCCGTGCGACGGGCGGCTCAGGAAGTGAAGAGGCTGAGCAGTGGAGAGACCACCAAGGCGTATGAGCGGCTGCGCGGCGAGTGGCGGATGGCCAGAGTGGCTCTGGGAGTGATTCTGCTCTTCATCGTGTCCTGGTCGCCGTACTCTGCCGTTGCTTTGACCGCCACCGCTGGCTACGCCCACCTGCTGACCCCCTACATGAACTCAATACCTGCAATCATCGCCAAGGCCTCCGCCATCCACAACCCCATCATCTATGCCGTCACACATCCAAAGTATCGTGCTGCCATTGGTCGACACTTTCCGCTGTTGCGTGCTGTGCTGCGGCTGCAGGAAAAGGATCTGCACTCATCGTTCAGCTCCAGCACCGCCTCGTCTCGCCGCACGACGCTCAGCGGTTCACCCGGGGTCCGGCTGGGCGCCGGGGTGCGAAACAACGGACGCTGGAGGCAGAGCCGGATGTCCTCAGCTTCTGACAGCGACTCCTGCTGGACGGAAAGCGAAGCTGACTGCTCCAGTGCTGCATCAACAGCCATCAACCACCGTACATCCACCCAGGTGTCAGCTGAGCTGTCTGACCCCGCCCACATGAGCCAGCTGACTGAGTCTGGACCCACAGACAGCGACTCACCTGAAGGGGGCGCTGCCATGGCGGCAAAACCTCTGCTGGCTCCTATATAATGGCACCGCCCCGTGAAGTCATAGCTCCGCCCATCTTCAACACCATATTTCTGGCCTTTTTTTTTTCTTTTATTCAAATTTATTAATAAAGACAACACCTGGTGGCATTTCACAGGTAAAACCAACTGAACAGGGTCTGGTTTTGTTTCAGGAACTACTTCCTCTGTTCAGTCAGTGAAACCTTGGTTTTTAATTTATTACATTAATGTAGGTAAGGTCATGTCATTTATACAGCAGATTTTCAGCAACAAGGTAATTTAAAGTGTTTTACATGAATTAGAAGAAATACAAAATAAAAGCAAAGCAAAAGAAAAAAAAAGGTAAAAGTACAGAACGACACATTGGTTCCCTTATGTTTAATAGGAATAAGTATTCCATAATTTATCAACTGGTTGGAGTTTCTCTGGATTCTTGATCAGATAAAACTAAATGTTGATTCTCCATGTTTGATTCTATAAGGTAGATCAGGGGGGTCCAAAGTGGGTCCTGGAGGCATCCTGCATGTTTTAGTCTCTCCCTGGTTTTACACACCTGCATCAAATGACGACTCATTAGAGGCCAAAGAGGAACATTGACCTGCTGAGGAGGTTGTTTCTACCAGCAGGGAGAGAATAGAACATGCAGGATGCCTCCAGGACCCAGTTTGGGCTCCTCTCCCATAAGGTATGCTGGATTTACGGGTATGACAGACAGAACACCTGTCCTCAGGCCTCCTGCCCTGCATGTTTGAGGACAGGTGTTCTATCTGCCACACCTGGATTGAATCAGTGGGTGATTAACAAGCAGTACTTGTTGGCTGCAGAAGAGGTGATGCAATCATTTGGATCAGTTATTCTGGTATATAGGCACATCTACAGATAGAAGTACTTTATTCATCCCAACCGGGAAATTACTGTGCAGTTGCAGCATACACATACACACAG